GAGAATCACTTAAGCCCAAGAGTTTGAGGTTGCTGTGAGCTGTGACACCATAGCACTCTACCAAGGGCAACATAGTGAGACTCTGTCTCTCACACACACAAAAAGACATATACTGGGAGAAGATAGGCAACCAAAATAACCAACAGGGTACTCTGTATATTATCTAGAATACATAAATCAGTGACAAAGATGAACAAAGCAATAGCAAAATGAGGAAAGATGTCAAGAGATGTCCAGTCAGCATTTGGGATTAGCAGTACTAAAGAAGTCTGGGCTGGGGGGCACCTGTGGCTCAAAGGAGTAGGGCGCGGGTCCCATATACCAGAGGTAGCAGGTTCAAACCTGGTCCCAGCCAAAAACCGCAAAAAAAAAAAGAAGTCTGGGCTGGAAATAGAGATCTGTGCTATATCAAATTATTGATGTTACTTGAATTTGTGGACTAGATGAATTAGGTAAGAAAGTATGCAAAGAAAGGAGATTTAGGCCTAGCTAGAACACAAAGATTACACAAGTACAGGATTTTTTTTTTTTTTTTTGAGTCTTACTTTGTTACCCTCGGTAGAGTGCCATGCCATCACAGCTCACATCTCACAGCAACCCCCAGCTTAGGCTAGTCTCTTACTTCAGCGTCCCTAAGTAGCTGGTACTACAGGTGCCACCACAATGCCTGGTCATTTTTTTGTTGCAGTTTGGCCGGGGCCAGGTTCAAACCCACCACCCTTGGTATATGGGGCCGGTGCCCTAGTCACTGAGCCACAGGTACCACCCACAAGTACAGGATTAATGATCCTCCCTCAAGTGCTTAAAACTGTATTTGCATATTGATTATTTTATCTTGACTTTTATGACCACAAAGTTTCTTCATGTATTTTTTTTTGACTCTCTGTGGCACAGGCTGCGTGTAGTGGCTCAATCATGCATAGTTCACTGTAATCCTGAACTCCTCACTCAAGGAATCCTGGTTTAGCCTTCCAAAGTGCTGGGATTACAGGGGTGAGCCACCATACCAGGCTTCTATGTCCATTAAAGATGGGAGTCTAAAAAAAAGAAATGCTAATAAAACCAGAATCTGTTGGACAGTGCACCCTAAGGTGGGCAGATACCTGTCATTTCCATTTAGAACAATATTATCTTCAGGCCTGGTGCAGTGGCCTGATTGCAGTGGCATAAGTGTAATCCCAGAACTTTGGGAGGCTGAGGCAGGATGGCTTGGGGCGGAATTTGAAACCAGCTTGAGCAACATAGTGTGACCCTGTCTCTACAAAATATTTTTAAAAATTGGCCAGGTGGGTGGTATGTGCCTGTATGTGCCAGCTACTCCAGAAGGTAAGACAAGAGAATTGCTTGAGCCCAGTAATTTGAGGTTGCAGTTAGCTATGATGATGCCGCTGTATGCTAGCCTAGGCAACAGAGCAAGATTCTGTTTCAAACAATACACAGTATTGTTTTATCTTATTACATATTATCTTCAGACCCTCTGTTTCATGTACTGTGAAGAAAGAAAGGTTGAGGAAATGAAATACAAATTTTAAAATATGAATGAAAACAGGATTTAAAGGGAAAAAAGCCCTTATAAATGCACAGTAAGGATTTTGTTTTTATTGGTGGAGTCAGGACTAGCTCCTTTTATACATTGATATAACTCATATAGTGCATCAAAATAGCAAATATGAGGTATACCTCTTTAAAAGATTATGTACGTATATTTTTTATATTTTTAAATTTCAGATTAATATGAAGGTACAAACAATTAGGTTACAATATTTACATTTGTTAGGTGAAGTCCTGGTTGTAGTCTGTGTCCCCTATCCAGGACGTGTGACATATACCCTTACATTTTGCCCATTAGGTGGAGCACACCAATCTCCCTCCCCCTAACTTGAATTAAATTGAATTTATCTCTTGTGTGGGCATGTATTAGTTCATCTACTGGTTTAATTATTAGTAATGAGTACACGGGATTCTTGCTTTTCCATTTTTTTTTTTTTTTGAGACAGTCTCACTATGTCACCTCTGTAGACTTCAGTGGGGTCACAACTTCTAGCAACCTCAAACTCTTGGGCTTAAGTGATTTTCTTGCCTCAGCCTCCCAAGTAGCTGGGACTACAGGCATCTGCCATAACACCCAGGTATTTTTTTTGTAGTTGTCATCGCTGTTCACCAGGCTCGGGCTGGTTCAAACCCACTAGGCTGGGTGTATATGGCCAGTGCCCTAACCACTGGGCTACAGGTGCCAAGCCTGCTTTTCCATTCTTGTCACACTTTACTAAGTAGAATGTGTTTCAACTCCAGCCTGGTGAATACAAAAGATGTAAAGTCTCCATCCTTTTATGGCTGAATAGTATTTCATAGTATACATATGCCACCGTTTATTAATCCATTCCAAGGTTGATGGGCACTTGGGTAGTTTCCACATCTTGGCAATTATAAACTGAACTGCGATAAACAATCTAGAGCAAGTGTCCTTATGATAAAATGCTTTTTTTTCTTCTGGGTAGATGCCTAGAAATGGGATTGTGGGATCAAAGGGAAGGTCTATCTTGAGTACTTTGAGGATTCTCCATACTTCTTTCCAAAGAGACCGTATTAGTTTGCAGTCCCACTAACAGTGTGAAAGTATTCCCTTCTTTCCACATCCCCACCATAATAGCTAGTCTACAAGCTATACCTTTTCTTTAATAGACTTCCACTCACCATGTATCTTCTACTTAAAAATAGTAAGCTGGCCATACTATCCACATAAACTGCTGAGGCGAAGGCAGCCAGGCACAAGAAACTATATACTGTGTAATTCCTCTTTTTATGAAGTTCAAAAACATGCAAAGCAAGACAAACTGTCGTGGTGGTAGTGGACTAGGTTATAAAAGGCACAAAAAACCCCTCTGGGGCACTGAACAGATTCTCTGTTTTGATGTAGGTGGTGATTACATGGGATCATACATGCGGTACTTGAGCATTTTACTGTTTTATATATATTTGTACCTCTAAATTGAGGTTATTATTTTTTAATTCTTTAAAGAAAAACTGCTTAGCAGCCTTAAGAATATTACTGAAGGCTTGGCGCCTGTAGCTCAGAGGCTAGGGCACCAGCCACATACACTGGGCTGTTGTTTAGCAGGCCCAAGCCTGGCCCAGGCCTGCTAAACAACAATGACAACTACAACCAAAAAAAAAGCCGGATGCTGTGGCAGGTGCCTGTAGTCCCAGATAGTTGGGGAGCTGAGACAAAAGAATCACTTAAGCCCAAGACTTTGAGGTTGCTGTGAACTGTGTCGTCACAGCACTCGATATAGTGAGACTCTGCCTAAAAAAAGAATATTACTCAAGGCAGCACATTTTGCTCATGTCAAGATGGGCCTCTAATTAAGAGAAGATACAAACAGTAATGGCCTTTTCCAAGCTTTTCTTTCCATAATGCACTCAATTCCAACCTACCTCTACAACAACCGTCTTCCCAAGGGTGCCTCTACACTCAATCAGCAAAGATTGAAGAAAACAGTCAACTTCTGAATAGTCCAGAGGACAAGGATATTTCTGTTCTCTCATTTTCAGGATCAACAAGCTCTAGGGTTCATCTCCCCCTCAACCTAAAAGTAAACTCCCAAAAGGAAACTGAAAGGAAACCTTAATGTAGTCACCAACTTTTTAATCATCACTTTGTATTTTAAACGTCATCTTCTATATTGCTCTAGCTCACGTGAACCTGTATTGCAATCTTATTCAGAACAGGTTAAAATCATAATTGTTTTATTTAGATTCTGATTAACTATTATGATTGATGGTGGTTTTTTTCAGTGAAAGATAATCTCAAACATTAAATTTACACAGTCCAAAGAACAAGGGTTTGCTTTAAAAAAATCCTTCCTTTTCTCATTTTAAAAATGCCAAGAGAAAAATAAAAATAAAACGCATTTATTACAAGTGTCTGCTATATAGTATGTGGTTGGTCAAGTTGAGAACTGTAAGTAATTCAAGATGTCATACATACCATACATATCATGCAACCAGCAAGAGCTGGTTTGATATTTTGACTTCAGCCAAACTATAAAACAAAGTCATGACAAGAAATGTTTCAAGGGGCTCAGCGCCGTAGCTCAGTGAGTAGGGCACTGGCCACATACACTAAAGCTGGAGGGTTCGAGCCCGGTCCGGGCCTGCTAAACAACGACAACCGCAACCAAAAAATAGCTGAGCGTTATGGTGGGCGCCTGTAGTCCCAGCTCGGGAGGCTGAGGCAAAAGAATCGCTTAGAACCCAAGAGTTGGAGGTTGCTGTGAGCTGTGACGCCACAGCACTCTAGAGAAGGATGACCCTGCCTCAAAAAAAAGTTTCAAGGGACTGAAACAATCTTAATAAAAATAAACAAAATTCAAAAACCTTCAAGAATACTTGAGATTTTAACATAATCTCCGCAACATAAAGAAAACTCTAAAACTTAATTCTTTTATCACTAGAAATCACCTTTGGAAAGAACAAAATATCTAAGGAAGGACTTACTACAGATCTGAGTGGCATAAACCTCCGGACCTTGAAATAAGGGCTGCTCTAAGTTGCTGAGCAGCAAAACTGTAAGCAGTTACTGGTTTAGGTAGTTTAAATTGTTTTTTTTTTCTTTTGAAACCCCCCCTGGCCTGTTACGTGAAGGGGCAGTACTAGGTACAGCAGGTGAGTGGGTGGGGGAGGTGGCTCTTCGATGAGTATACAGTGGGGCCAAACAAGAGGGGCAGAAAAGAGAAGGCAAGGGCAACTCACTTTTGAAAGGTACTTTCCGGTGAGAAAGCACTCTCACACGCTTTATCTCATCGCAACAGTATCCCTTCTGCTAGTCTCCAGCGTTACAGATGTAAAAGGGCCAAGCTGAGGGCCATCTTCCAAACCAAAATCCCAAGGCCGGCGGCGTTACCCAACGTCCCCCCGGCCCCGCAGCCCGCAGGACGCACGCGTCACTCGCGCGCCGCCAATCGGCGCCAGGCAGGTCACCTCTCCCAGGCTCAGCCCCGCCCGCGCGCGGCGAGCGCTCTCCGGCCGCTTCCGCTCTTGGCGCAGGCGCAGTAGCGTGGCCGGCCAGGGAGAGCGGACGCCGCTGGCCAGGATGGTGCTGGAGAGCGTCGCCCGCATCGTGAAGGTGCAACTCCCCGCGTATCTTAAGCGGCTCCCAGTCCCCGAGAGCATTACCGGGTTCGCCAGGCTCACAGGTAATCGTACGCATCAGCCAGTCCTTGCCCTTGCACGCTCCCCCAGCCGGGAAGGAGGTGTAAAAATCCTCAAGCAAGGGGCGGAGCCGCGCTGGGCGATTGGCACGTGACGCCGTGACCCGCGCGCGGAGCGGTGGGCGCGCGGGCGGCCGCGTCTGCGGGGACCCCCTTACCTTCCGCTGGCCTCGCAGTCGTCTCTGGGGTCCGTAGGTGTAGGCTGGGCTTTTGCGGGGAGGGCTCTGAGTTGAGGGGAGGCCAGTCTCTTCATCTGTTGCTCTGTTCGTCACTCTCTCCAGCCTGCTCATTTATTTTAAAGCAGGGTAAGCCATCGTTATCTAAGGCGCCATGTGAGAAGCATTTCCAGTTATCGGCTGTTTTCACCCTCAGTGTGTGGGAGAGAAATACAGACAGACACGTAATACGTATGTGGCTGTTTTATTTAGTAACGAAATTAGGACATAGCCTCGTTTCCTCCGGGGTGGAGTTGACCTCTTACGGGGCGTCTGAGGTCACCTGTGTTACTAGAGTAGCGGGGGCAGTTGAGGTAGCCGTAGTTGGAGGAGAGAGACCTTAGCCACAAAGTGTTCGTAGGTCGCCATCTAGAAAATGAAATTTAATGAATATATGGAACATTATATACTTATGATCCCTCCTTTACATAAAAAAACCCTCACCCTAGGAATGAACGTCTAAAGGATGAATCTGCAGAATGGTCAACACTTGGAAGATTGTGTTGGGTTCTAGGAGCCTTTCTTTGTAGGAGATATTTCTAAACCAGACTCGGAGACTTGTGTAGGGAACCAGCGGACATTGAGCTCCTATGTTCTGGGTATCAGGGAAGGGAAACTCACTTTTAAAAGATACTTTAAAAGAAGGAATTGAGATAATTCTGAGGTGGCTCGGCGCCCATGGCACAGTGGTTGCGGCGCCGGCCACGTACGTGGAGGGTGGTGGGTTCAAACCCAGCCCGGGCCAGCTAAACAACAGTGACAAGGGCAACAAAAAATAGCCGGGTGTTGTGGCAGGCGACTGTGGTCCCAGCTACTTGGAGGCTGAGGCAGGAGAATCGCTTGAGCCCAAGAGCTGGAGGTTGCTGTGAGCTGTGACGCTACTGCACACTACTGAGGGTGACATAGTAAGACTCTGTCTCAAAAAAAAATAAATAAATAAACAACATGAGTTGTTCATAAAAAAAAAGATAATTCTGAGGAAAGGACTGTTCTTTAGCCTGAAGCATGCTGGAGGTCTATGGTGGCTAATCTAAAATACCCCAGTTGGAAGGCTGTCAGGTAAAAGGAAAGTAAGACTTGTTTTGTGTGGACCAAAAGGCGGAACTAGTACCAACTCAGTAAAGGTTAGAGGTAGATTGCAGTAATTACTCTTACGTTACATTTGGACTTTTCTCCCTGTATCATTTCATTTACTTAAATACATATTTTAATGTAACCCTCATTTGTTGTAACAACTATGTAATCTCATTTTAGTTTAACATCACAAACATCACAGCTGGAAATTTGAAATATTTAGTGCCAAGTAGCCCTATACTGGTTGTCATTTTTTTCCCCCTTTGAATTTTACTCTTGACTGTATTCACTAAAATGGTAATAACTAGGCCAGAAGGGTATGATCATTTTGTGACGTTTATTCCTTTGTCGACTTCTTAATGATCTACATAAGTTAACTGTTGAGTTTTTCTCAGTCAAGGAAAGAAAATGTCCCCTTATTCTGACCCCAATCCAGGGTAACCCGAAACCTGAATTACATGTGTTGATTCTGATGATAACATTTATATTCATTTCAATTTTCTGTAGACACAGTGTAATTTGAAGAAGATTAGGAAGTAATAAGATACTGGATTTAGTGGCTAAAAGATTTTAGCAGTGTATTTTCTTTTCTTGAAGGTCCTTACTGTCAACAAATATTTAACTCCTATTTAAGGCATTAAAGAAACTTAACCAAGACCTTTTCCCTTTTCTCTTTAAAGTTATAAAATATTTAATATGAAGACCGATTCTCAGAAATAATGGCATCTCTATCTTAAGAGCATATATTTAACTCATGTCCCATTACAGTGTGTCTGCAATTTAGTTCTATTGCTTATTCAGGAAACATGACTATGTTTCTAATGCCTGCTTTATGAAAAAAATGAAATGGTTTGTTTTGAATTAGGCAAAATGGTTGGAGGGTCTGTTTTGGAGGACTGTGGAAGAAAATCTTCAGTGACCGTTTTCCACTTACCCCTTGAAGATAAATTGTAATAGTTAATGACATTTGGCTTTCATGAATGAGCTACTTGTAGAAACCATAATTGAAGCAAGAACCTGGAAGATAACTTTTCAGTAATTAAGTTTTTAAAATGTCTAGGAGACCAAAAAATATTTTCATTTTCTCCTATGAAAATTAGAGCAAAAAATTAGAGCACAATATTGTTGCCTGTATTTCCTTCCCTATTTAGATCTAGCTGTTTTTTAAAGCAATTGACTTTCTCATGATGACTTTGCATTCTTAGAAAACACAGAGAGATTCTTAATTACCATATGCTAGTTAAATATAGACAATTCTTATCTGTCAGAAACAACCTACTTATCTTTGTTTATGTCCCATTTTCTAGATTGAGACTTCTTAAGATAAATTAGTGTGTTTCTGTCCTAAGTGTATTTGCCCCTCTGTGTCTATGGATTCAGCTAACCATAAAAAATGTAGTTAGAACTAAGATGGTTCCATCTGTATTGAACATGTACACATTTTTTTTTCAGGTCATTATTCCTTAAAGTTATGGTCTAACAGCTATTTATATAGCCTTTACATTGTATTATGTACTGTTAGCAATTAGGATTTAAAGTACGTGGGAGGATGTATGTAGTTTATTTTGAAGACAAAGAAGTATCTGAGGCTTTGATATTGTATTTCTCAGAATAACACAAACATGGTAGAGCTGGCAGCTATAAGGGCATTCGTTTTATTTTTCAAGAAGAGGCCAGTTTTGAACTGAGATTTAAAAAGTGGAACACAATGAAAACATATCCACAAAAAGATTAGTACAAGCATGTTCAGAGCAGCCTTATTTATAATAGCCCCCAAAGTGAAAGCAACTCAGTTATCTACGGGAGATTAGATAAACAAATTGTGGGATATTCATAGAGTAGAATATTAAGAATAAAAAGGAACAGGTTACTGGTTAACTAAATAAGTCTCAGAAAGTTTATGTGGAGTGAAGACTTTGGTTAATCAGTGGTGGGGCTAACTTGGTGGCTTACACCTGTAATCCCAGTGCTTCAGAAGAATTGCTTGAAGCCAGAAGTTTGAGACCAGCCTGGGCAACAGAGCCAGATCCTGGCTCTACCAAAATATTCAAAAAAATTAGCACAATGAGATGGTATGTACCTGTAGTCCTAGCTACTTGGGAGGCTAAAGTGGGAGGATTACTTGAGCCCACAATTTCAGGGTTACATTGAGCTATGATTGTGCTGCCATTGCATCCTATCCTGGATGAAAGAGCCAGACCCTGTCTGAAAATAAAATAAAATAAAATAGTGGTGGGGGAATAAGGTAGAAAAGATCAGAGGAATACTTTCTGTGGTGACAAAAGTATTTTACATATTTTTCTATATACATCTATTTACACATTTCCAGTAGAGACTATAGGGCTGTATTTATTTGTCACGGTTCAGAATTAGGCACTTAAGATCCCATTCATTTTATTGTATGTAAATTGTACCTAAATTTTTTTTTGAAAGAAATGGAACAAAAATGATGTTTCTTGACAGGAAAGCATAATAAATCATTAAAATCAAATGAAAGTTGTATTAACATGAAAATAATAAAGATTATTTCTGAAAGACTTTATTGGGGGGAGGGAGAAGGGAGGAGGGAATGGGTGGAGGGAAGGGGTTTGGAGGGATCACTCCTGAGGTTTATCTTATAGGGGTACAGGTGAATCTTTCTAAGAGTAGAATGTGAACGTTTTAAAGCAATAACTGAGAAAATGACTAGAAGGCTGTGTTGAGCAGTTTGATGGAAGTATTTCAGATTGCATGTGAAAACCCTACACTGTACCCCAGAAGTGCATTAATGTACATAGTTACCA